ACTGGGATTCAGCACTGGCATGATTCCACTGCTTCCCCCCCCCCTTTTTTGCAAGCAGGCGTTTCTCAACACTGGGTCTCTTTCAGGTCTGTGTATATATGTTTTAGGCTTCTGCTGTTGCTGCTGCTGCTAGGAAGCCAAAACTCCTATTGCAGCAAAATCTGTCGAGCAAATCCCATTCAAACAGCCTGTTTGGTGTTTCCGCTCCTGGACCGCAGCCCAGTTTTCATATCCCACCTACACAATTCTGAGACAAAAGTACTGTTGCGTCTTGAGAGGAAATGGACTTAGTAAACGTCTTTTCCTTTTTTTTTTTTTTTACCTTTGTTAAAAGATACCTAAAGGAAAAACTGATGATGCAACCATGGAAACAAATCCTTTTCTGTAGTGTTTTGTTCTTTGTGTCCCTTTTTAGTGAAGGACCTTGAGCCTTAAACCTAACAAAATATTATTCTAACCTTCTCATCAATAAACAAAGAGCATCAAGGGAGAGATGGCTCCTCCCCCTAAAGTCTGTGATACCTACCCCGTTATGCAAGTGAGACTTTTGGATTTTTGTTAGGTAACCTGTCTATAAATGTAGTGTAAGCTTTTGTGGGTCTTTGGAGAAGCAGAATTCAAACCTAAAAATGATACAATAGTCCAGAACACAGGACAAAAAGTTAAAGGCGTAAGCTAAATTCTTATTTTAATTCATGCATTCAGTGCATACATATAGAACATGTACATAAAAATCATCTCCTGAGAGAGAGCATATACATTTTCTATGATGCCAGAGGAATCATGGTGTTTGAAACATCTGCTGTGAAATGTAGTACTGCTACAGTGAAGACAAAACAATATTATATCCAAAATATATATTGTGATAATTAATTCTAATATTCTAAATATGGTAGTCAATACAAACATATGATAATTTAGTCCAGTGTCTGTGAAACATACAAAAATCCTTACAAGGGAAAAGTCCAATACATTTTCTAAGCGTACATGAACACATGAAGCTGCCTTATACTGAATCAGACCATTAGTCCATCAGGGTGAATACTGTTTACTCTAAGTGGCAGTGGCTCTCTGGTGTCTCAGGTAGAGGTCTTTCTGATCCTTTTAAATGGAGTTGCTGGCACTTTCTACGTGCCAAAGAGGATTGCCAGCTGATGCCTAGCACCTGACAGGAGACAGAAGGGCGGGGACATGGAGGTGCTGTTTTTGCATGTGGCATCATGTTGCTTCTGGGGGAAACTATAAGTGACATCATGTCATTCTAAGAATCACTGAAAACTCTGTTGTAAAACTATAGAGTTTCTGGTGACTCCTAGAGGGACATTGTAATGTATTCAATAGCTGCCATTGCAATACATGAATCTTCTAATTGGCTTGCCATGTAAAGCTTCGTCCTGGGCTAGGATCCAAATCCATCCAATCACATAGCTAGCCCAGGAAGAACCAACCAATCACTGGTCAGCAAGCTCCCTGAGCGGGAACATCCGTGATTGGTCCTTATGTATACAACCTTATTGGTTGACAATTGTATAGTAGGTGTGGCTACATTAGCTGGGAGAGTTTAAAAAGAGAACAGCTTTAATGCAAAAGCTGTTCTGGCTATCAGATGTTGATCCGTGTTGGAGTTGTGTTCGAGTTGTTGAATAAAGCTGAATCTTTGCTGAATCACTCTCCAACTACTTTGTTAAGCGAGCGACTTAACAATTGGCGACGAAGGTGGGATATTAGTGTGAGTAGGCAGCCCCGCTAAACAATCCCACGATGGACAACAGGAAGCATTGTGCCATGGCTGATCAGCAGCAGGCACCACCAGATCTGGTGGAAGCGCCTGTCAGGATGGCCAATAGCCAGAAGTTTGAGGCATTCGAACCTACCACCGAGGACTGGGACGCTTACCTGATGCGGTTCGAGTTCCACCTCGAGGCGAACGACATCGCAACTGAAGAGAAGAAGCGAGCAACCCTCCTGAGCTCTTGCGGCAAGAGCGTTTTTGACATTGCCCAGTCGCTGGTCACACCAGCGGACATCAAGATGGTACCATTCAAGGACCTGATGGAGAAGCTAAAAACGCACTTCTCACCTCAGCCGTTCGAGATTGCCTGCCGGCACGCTTTTTATAAAAGGAGCCAAGCAGCCAACGAGTTGGTGCTGAATATGTGGCGGCGTTGCACAAGGCTGCAAGGCCCTGCAACTTTGCGAACATCAAGGAGGGCCTCCGAGATCAGTTGATGTGTGGCATGAGGGACGAACGGCTGCAACAACGGTTGTTCGCCTGCATAACCCTGACTTGGGCTGTTGCCTACACGGAGGCCGTCGTCGCAGAGGCAGCCGACAAATCCACCAGAGAGGTCCGCCAGCGGTTGGCGTCAACAGAACAGCGTGTCCAACACCAGGCTTCCGGCAGCGAGGGCAGTGATGCAGACGAGGACGTGTGTGCGGTTAAAGCGGGAGCAGACAAATGGACCCGAGTGAAGCCTGCGGCCAGCCCAGCGTGTGCCGTTTGTGGCGGGAAACACCCTCGCGAGCACTGTTGGACCCAGGACATCGTGTGTCGAGTGTGTGGAAGGTGGGGCCATCTAGCACAAGTTTGCAGATCGCCAAAGAACTCAGCGCCGGCATCCCCACCGAGGAACCAATGATCACAAGCAGCCATCAGAGAAGCCAGCTGTCAGATGACATCTAGCCTGTCATCCGCATCGACCATCCTTCGCACCGGCAGTCAAGGGAAGATCCACGTCACCCTCCTCCTAGACGGCGTTCCATGCAGCATGGAGGTCGACTCAGGATCATCAGTGACGGTGACTTCTTCGAGGACGTAGCAGCGGCTGTTTCCAACCAGGAGTCGGTGACGGCTGAAGTTGGCGGACACTTGGGTATCAGATTTTCAGGGAAAGCGTATTCCTCTGGCGAGAAGGGATACGTTCAAGGTAGAATTTAAGGAGAAATGTGCCACGTTATCTCTGTTGGTTGCTGAGGGGGACCGGGCTAACCTGCTTGGCCTGGATTGGTTCGAACCCCTGGGTATCAGAATTACTGGTGTGGATCATGTTGTTTAAAATAAATGGGCATTGTTGTATGCTGAGTTCCCTGAAATATTTGGGGGCGGCCTGGGAAGGTACAACGGGCCTCCGGTGTTGTTCGAACTCGATCCCTCCATGACCCTAATCCAATTAAAGTATTGGAAGGTGCCCATTTCGCTCAAAGCCCGGATTGAAGCAGAGCTGGACAAGGTAATCAAGCAGGGAGTGCTTGAGGTGGTTCCCTTTAGCAAATGGGAAACTCCAATAGTGACGCCTGTAAAGTCAGACGGGTCTGTAAGAATTTGCGCAGACTATAAGTGCACTATGCAACAGACTATAAGTGCCTTGCAACAGCACTCTTACCGTGTACCCGTTATCAGCCACATCCTGGCATCCCTTGGGGGAGGGAAGGTATTTGCAAAGCTTGACTTAGCGCAAGCGTACCAGCAGCTGCCAGTAACTAAAGAGGCAGCGGAAGCCCAAACCATCGTTACCCACCGGGGAGCATTCAGGGTCAATAGACTCCAGTTCGGGGTAAATGTCGCCCCAGGGATCTTCCAGGGACTTATGGAAGGCTTACTCAGAGGGGTACCAGGCATGGTCCCGTACTTTGATGACATGCTGATTGCAGGGGGGTCTGACCAGGAGCTCATGGAACGGGTGAGAATGGTGTTGGAGCGTTTCAATTCTGCTGGGCTAAAAGTAAAGCAGTCTAAGTGTCTTGTGGGAGTCCCAAGTGTGGAGTTTTTGGGATTTCAGGTAGACGAAAGGGGTGTCCACCCCACAGAGGACAAAGTGGCAGCAATTAAGAATGCTCCACGACCCCTCAACAAAAAAGAGCTCCAGTCCTTTTTAGGGCTGTTAAATTTCTACCACGCTTTCTTGCCACACAAAGCGTCAATGGCAGCGTCTTTACACACGTTTCTCCACAAGGACACAACATGGAGATGGGGCTCGGAACATGAGCGGGCTTTCAAGGGAATCAAAGTCCTATTGTCGTCAAACACTGTCCTCATGCACTATGATGAACAGAAACTGTTAGTGCTGGCGGCAGATGCATCTCCGTTTGGGGTGGGGGCAGTCCTCAGCCAATTAATGCCGGACGGCAGTGAAGCCCCCGTCACGTTTTATTCGAGGTTGCTATCGGCTGCGGAGAAAAACTACGCACAAATTGATAAAGAGGGTCTGGCACTGGTTTCCATGGTCAAGAAATTTCATGACTTTTTGTTTGGAAGAAAATTTCTTTTAGTGACAGACCACAAACCGCTGTTGGGGATCTTTGCCCCAGACCGGCAAATCCCCAACATTCTGTCTCCCCAAATGTTGCGGTGGGCGATCTTCCTCACCGCTTATGACTATGACTTTGAGCACAGGCCGGGCAAGGCGATAGGACACGCGGACACCCTCTGTCGCTGCCCTCTACCCGGCCAGGACTTGGACCCTGCTCCAGCTAGCATGGTGCTAGCCATCGATGAACTGCCTCAGGCCCCAGTATCCTCAATGGACATTGCTGCTGCAACAGCTAAAGACAATGTACTTGCTCGCGTTTTGAACTGGGTGTGGAGGGGGTGGCTGGCAGGAAATGTGGAGCCGGAGTTCAAGCCATTCAGGGCGCGCCAAAACGAGCTTTCGGTGTCGAAAGGGTGTGTGTTGTGGGGAAACCGGGTGGTGGTGCCCGTCAAACTCCGAGAAAAGGTTTTGGAATCTTTACATGAGGGCCATCCCGGCATGGTCCACATGAAGGCGCTGGCACGGGGGTATGTCTGGTGGCCCGGCTTAGATGCCGACATCGAAGAGTGGGTAAGAGTATGTATTCCTTGTCAACAGGCTAGGCCCAAGCCTCCTACCGCAACACCACAGTGATGAGAACCTGCAGGGAAGCCATGGTCCAGGCTTCACCTGGATTTTGCGGGGCCTGTGCAGGGGCAAATGTTCCTTCTGATTGTTGACGCGTACTCGAAGTGGCTGGAGGTTGCGCACATGCACTCCACCTCTTCGATCGCTGTCATCAATGTGCTGCGCCGTTTGTTCTCCACCCACAGGCTACCGGACGTGCTGGTGAGTGACAACAGCACGCAGTTTACCTCTAGGGAGTTTGCCCAGTTTCTGTCCGACAACGGGATTAGGCACCTGACGTCGGCCCCCTTTCACCCGGCCTCTAACGGCCAAGCGGAGAGAATGGTCAGGACGACCAAGGAAGCCCTAGCAAAGTTAACGCAAGGCAATTAGGGGGTAAAACTGGCTTCATTCCTACTGCGCCAGCATGTTACCCCGTGCTCTTCTACAGGCCTCAGCCTGGTCGAGCTGCTGATTGGGCGCCGCCTCACCACCCTTTTAGATCACCTACACCCAGATCTGAATGATCTGAAGCCCCGGCAGCAGAGTGCGCTCCCTAAGATCCGCACTTATGAACCAGGCGACAAGGTGTTCTGCAGGAATTATGCAGGGGGTCACTTGTGGCTACTAGCCACTGTAACTGAGAGTATTAGTTCACGAATGTACGTGGTCGAGCTTGCAGATGGCCGCAAGTGGCGACGCTTAGGCAGTGGTGGGCAAAGGAATGCCTAGACTCCCAGCCGGCTGAGTCCCCCAAACCAGAGGACCGTCCCAGACCTCCTCCAGAGGTGAGTACTGCCAAGCCCAGTACTGTCCCAGAAGTAGGGCAGACCCCTACCTTCGGACCCGCAACAGAGGACGGAAGTGTACCTGACTCTGAGATCCCAGAGTCAAGCAGGGCCCCCCAAGCTGAATTGTGTCCTGAGCCTGTACCGCTACGCAGGTCTCAGCGGGTGCACCGAGCACCAACCTACCTAAGTGATTACGAATGTAAATGAATGTTTTTACTTAGGGGGGAGGAATTTGTAATGTATATTCAATAGCTGCCATTGCAATACATGAATCATCTAATTGGCTTGCCATGTAAAGCTTCGTCCTGGGGTAGGATCCAAATCCATCCAATCACATTGCTAGCCCAGGAAGAACCAACCAATCACTGGTCAGCAAGCTCCCTGAGCGGGAACATCCGTGATTGGTCCTTATGTATACAGCCTTATTGGTTGATAATTGTATAGTAAGCGTGGCTACATTAGCTGGGAGTATCAGATGTTGATCCGTGTTGGAGTTGTGTTCGAGTTGTTGAATAAAGCTGAATCTTTGCTGAATCACTCTCCGACTACTTTGTTAAGCGAGTGACTTAACAGACATGATAGAACTTCTGGGTTTTACCCTGGAGATCCCTTCCAACTCTATGATTCTACGTGGAAGTGACATCACATTGTACATTACATCACTAATTATTTTGATTTTTCTCTGCCACTCATAGGAGAAAGAAGAGCGGGCTACCAATGGGAGACCTCTCACCATAGTGAGAGACTTGGCGAACATAACAAGCTATGTCCCTACCCCAAACAAACAAACAAAAAATTAATAAGAAGATCCAGAATTTTCTAAGCATCTAAACAGCAACAACTAAAAGCCAGTTTGGTGTAGTGGTTAAGTGCATGGACTCTAATCTGGGAGCACCGGGTTTGATTCCCCACTCCTCCACTTGCAGCTGCTGGATGACCTTGGGCAAGCCATAGTTCTGATAAGAGCTATCCTTGAAAAAGAACAGTTTCTGTCAGAGCTCTCTCAGCCCCACCTACCTCACAGGGTGTCTGTTGTGGGGAGGGGAAGGGAAAGGAGCTTGTAAGCCGCTTTGAGACTCCTTTGGGTAGTGAAGGGTGGGGTATATATCCAATCTCTTCTTCTTCTTCTCTTCTCTTCCTAGCCTCTTTTAATGTTCTAAAAAAAAATCATAGTCCCAGTCGTTGGCAAGTCTCTAGATAAGCAGTCTTATAATTGTGTGACTACCTGCAGGAAAGCATATCTTCAAGCAAATGAAATAATAAGGAAAGTTCACTCCTTGGCAAAGGGGACAGATTAGATTATTTTTCCAATGCAATGAAGGTTACCAAGCTCACTTGTGGTTTCTGTGCATCTCATTTTAAGGGAATCATACAAACCCTGATTCAGCTTTAGTATGTGTATCACCCTACTGAAAGGTGTGCAAAGTTGCCCTTGAGATGTGACACAGAACAAGAAGTGAAAATATTGTCAGTCCAGCTAAGGATGATTTTTCTGGGCTAAAGCTTACCATGTTTTCTTTGAGAGAGAGCCTACTGATTTCAATAACTTATTTCCAAGAAAATCCACAACACGTAATTTACAGCAGGATCCAGTTTAAGTTAAGCACTTTTTAAGTCCTATTAATTTCAAAGGGAGAATTAATCATGTGTTAAGCACCGTTAAGTACCGCTGATTTCAGTGGAGAGAGATTAAACCAGTGGGACTTAAAGGTGCTTAACTTTGACTAGATTGTACCTGCAATGTTTAAGTAAAACCCTCATTATTGGCCCTATTTTGCAACAGAATAGAACACAGAAGGGTAATGTCTCACAGCTTGGTTATCGAGGTTCTTTGCTTACACTGAAATCACAGTCCACAGTGCAAACACAGTAAGAACCCTAAAGGTCAAAAACCCCGGATTAAAGGTAGGTTTTTATTTACCTCTGGAAGCTTTGAGCTCAATCCCTTTCCCTTTGAAGTCTCTGACATAATTCCCCTTGCTATCGATAGAAACAGAAGTAGACCTCTTTTTGAAACTGAAGCTTACTTCACAAAAATGTCTCATGGGAAAACCAAAAAGTTTCCTTTCCTGGTCCATTTCTCTTCCACTAGGGTTTTCTTTTACTAGAAAGGACATCAATTCCTACTATCAATGACATCACTTTTAAAATAAAACTTGTAACTGCCATTTTTAAATTAAGTGTTCCGCACATACCAAATTAATACACTGGTTTTTTATCTCCAGTGTGTTTTACATTTTTTATTTGAAGTTTCTTTCCGTGTACCACTTGATAGAGGGCCATGCACTGACACCAAATATGTGGCCTCTTGGCAAACTCAGCAATTCATCTTCCACAGCTCTCTCTCTCTAGGAAACGAGGAGTAAGTTCACATGCAGAGGTCATTTCGGGGGGGAACGCGGGGGAACCCAGTTCCCCCGGGTGAGGTGCAGGGGGCGGGGCACATGACGAAGCCCTGCCCCCTGCTTCCGGCCGCCCCGCTTCCAGCCCTCATTCAGCCAGGAGGAGGCAGGAGAAGAGGGAGGGTAAGTTGCTTCCTCCCTGCCTCTCCCCACCCCTGCCTGCCTGGGGCCAGGAAGGGCCTTGGCGGGGCTTCCTCGCACTCCTGCTGGCCTTGCAGGTCCACCGCCAGGCCCCTGATGTCAGGGGGTGTGGCATATGCTAATGAGTTATGCTAATGAGTCCCCCTAGCTCTTTTTCTACGAAATGACCCCTGATCACATGAATGAGAGGAGGTCCTTCCTCTTGCCCATGTACCCATCTTTGTCCGTTCCTCCATCTTATCAACTCACTTCAAGAAAAACAAGGAAGGAGAGAGGAAGGTAGAGAGGAAGGCAGGCAGATTTGGCACTGGGGTCACCAGTTGCCATACAGACCTTCTTGGGGTTGTCAATGGACCAAATAAAAATGACCTGGAAAATGACCTGACCTATTCCTGTGCCTTTTACAACAACTTGACAGGCAGAAATCATCAGTAAGGCTTTTCACAGCATGGAAATAAGCAAGATCACCTACTACCAGCTGTTAAAAGCAGGGCTGCAGAGGGCAGTTGAGAAGTAGACCTCATTCATTGTGATCTCTAATCAGGAGCAATAAAATGGGAATGAGTTTGTCCAATAACCTGGCGGCATAACTAAGTGACCTTTACCCAGTTCTAATGTTATCAAAGTGAGAGGTGAGTCTCATCATAGTGGCTAAAGAGGCTTGAACGGCCCTTCTTTCCTTTTCCATCTTGGTATTGATTTAGAAGATACTGCTGTTCCATTTGAAAATACACAGTGCCACTCCAATATTAACTACAAATTTATGAAAGCAGGCCAATGAATGGTATCTCAGTCACTGTCTCCCCCCCCCCCTTTCTGCAGAGTGACTACATACTGAGGGACAGACATGGGGGACTGGAAATAGGCCTTGCTTATGGTTCTCAGCCTCCAGGTGGGGCCTGGAGTTCTTCTAAAATTACAGCTGATCTTCAAACTACAGAGATCTATTCTCCTGGAGAAAATGGTGGTTTCAGAGAGTGGACTCTAGTTTAGGACATCACATTCTTGCCAAGCTTCCCCTTCTCCAGACTTTGTTCTCCCTAGGCTTCAGGAACTTCCCAAATCTTCAGGAATTTCTCAACCTGGAGATCTCCTGCTATTACAATTAATCTCCTAACAACCAAGATCAGTTCCCCTGGAGAAAATGGCTAGTCTGGAGGGAGGACTCTGTAGCATTATACCCTGTTGAGGTCCCTCCCATCCTCAAACTCCACCCTACCCAGGCTTCACCTTCAAAATCTCCAGGTATTTCCCAACCCAGACCTGGCAACCCTATTGGCAACTCTAGTGTTGGTCTTCTCCACAATCACCTTTCTGCTAATCTGCAGAATGAGTGGCTTTTTTCCAGAGCAGAGAGGCCAAGGGATACTTGTTTACCTTTTGATAAGCCCAGGTAGAAAAGTGTATTCTATTCATACAGCTTTTAATCACTGTAGTCTCTGACTCTCTCTTCATGTGGCATATTAACACAAGAAGCCAGTGAGAAAGCTTTTCTTTTTGAAAAAGGACTGTATGATACTTCCATTGATCTTTCAGACATCAGAACATGCATCACACACACACACACACACACACACACACACACATATAATTGCCCTAACGCTCTGGCCATTTCCAGCTCTCCCATTGGCTGTGCTGTGCACTCCATCAGACATTGTCCCATCAAACGCCACTCAAGAGTACTTGCGTGCCATTGGCTGGGTGCTGGGTCTGCTCCTCTCCCCCGCCCACTGCCAGCCTGGACACTCTTCCCTCACAGAATAAACTGCCAAAAACGGCTGTCTTTCCTGATGAAGACAGTTCTCCTGCTTGGCTCCTGTGGGACTAACTTTTCCCTCAGGGGCTGTTGCTAAGCAAACAAGCTTGGTTCTGTCAGTGAAAAGGCAAAGCAAGGAGGCCTTTTTCAGGCCTTTGTGGGAAACCCATTGGGGCCAGTCCTGACTAGGTTTGCCATCTCCAGGTTGGGAAATTCCTGGAGATTTTGTGGTGGAGTCTATGGGAGCCAGAGGTTGGGGTGGGGAGAGGCCTCAGCTGAATAGAATGCCATAGAGCCCACCCTCCAAAGCAGCTCTTTTCTCCAGGGGGAGGAGAGATCTGTTGTCTGGAGTTCAGTTGTGATACCCGGCAATCTTCAGGCTCTACCTGGAGGATGGCTACCCTAGGCGTAGCAGTTAGCGCTTCAGAGCAGAGTCTGCCAGACCCAGGTTTTTGCTGCTGAGTGGGTGATTTCAGACCAGTCACAGACTTTCAGCCTAACCTACCTTACAGGGTGGGGTTGTTGTGCAGATCAAAAGGGGGAGAGAAGAATGATGTGAGCTGCTTTGGTCT